TCATGTGTATTATCTAATGTTCTGGTTAGTAATGTATATTTTAAAATAAATATCATGTATGCATGTAATGTTATTATTTTCTTTATTATAGTGTCAGTCATATGAAGCTCTCCTGCTCTCAACTGAAGCTACTGTTAAAGTGTATGGTGTGATCAAAGCACTGCCTGAAGGGAAATCGGTCAGTATACTCTTGTATATTCCTAGTATACTAATAATAGAGATCTTTTACTAGTAATTTCAATTAAATATTCGCTTCCTATTACATTTGTATTTGCAGGATGTTACTCCTTCAAATTTAAATTTATATTATGCACAATTTTTTCACTGCACGTTATGTACATATAATACATGTACATGTACATATACATTTACCTGTACATTTCCTATTAGGCTCCAGGTGGTCATGAGTTGGTGTGTGATTATTGGGAGGTGGTTGGGCTCTCTCCTCCAGGTGGAGCTGATAATCTAGTGAACGAGGACTCACTGGTTGATGTCCAGTTAGACCAAAGACACATGATGCTAAGGGGAGACGTGGTAAACCTATTATTTATGCCTTTTAATTTTTATGCATGTTTATTTTATTTTTTATTTTTTATTTTGCCCTCTTTTTGAGGCGTACATCTTTTCTTTTTTTTTGTTTTATAATGCATGTAGTTGTCAAAGATATTCCGAGTTCGTTCAATGGTGGGACATTGGTAAGTGATAACAAATGATAGAGAGAGTGGGAGAGAGGCGGGGGAGGAGAAAGAGCTTTGTTTTAAATACTATTTTCATCTTCTCTCTTTTAGTTTTCGTCAGCACTTCTTTGACAGAGGATATGTTGAGGTACTTATACATGTACATGTACACACGTTACTAGCTTTATAAACACTGTCACAGGTAACTCCTCCCACTTTGGTGAAGACACAAGTTGAGGGCGGAGCCACCTTATTCAAACTGGATTATTTTGGTGATGAGGTATGAATCATGATACTTGTAGTACAACTTTAGTTGTGTGTACTGATTTAGCAAACATTTGAACTATTTAACTATTGTATTGATAATCTAGTGTTCTATGAATTATTACACACAATTATAAAAATCCTAAAGTATAAAGTAAACTTAAGATATATGTTTCCATTATATATTATTATTATTATTATTATTATTATTATTATTAATTAATTAATTTATTATTATTATAACAAGAAATATAACAGAATAAGGTGGACAAGAAAATATAGCAAGATAAGGCAGAACTTAATATTAACAAAATAAAATGAAATAAGTCAATAGAGAGATTTCATAAGT